GGCCTGTGGCGGTGGCTGCAGGTTGCCGCCTGCAGAGGTGCTACATGCTTTCAGGCAGCAGCTCCTTTCCCCAGCCAGCGCTCCTGGGTAGTTCTGAAACTTGGTGTTGGAGGCTCAGCCTGTTCTGCTAGCCCTTCCAAACAGTCTGTACTTAGTACCTCCCCTCTGACTTAAATCAGCTCAGCAGTTCTTAGAAAGGTGTGGTTCAAGGATCCTGGGGTCTCCAAGACCCTTTTTGGGGGGTCTGCAAGATCCTCCCTTTTCCAACTACATATCTGTGTGAAACCAGCTTTTCTGTGATATTGTCAATCAAAACAATCACAATAGATGGAATGCAAAAGGTGATATGAGAATACAGCTGCCTTCTATTAAGATATTCAAGAATGCTGCACTCTTCTTGATTGTTTTTCGTTTTGGAAAAGTTTTTTTTTTTTAATTTATTTTATGTTGCCCTGGCCAGTTTGGCTCAGCAGTTAGAGCGTTGGCCCGCGGGCCAGAGCATCCCAGGTTCGGTTCCCGCTAAGGACACGTACCTCTGTTGCAGTTTATCCCCGGCCCTGGTTGGGGTCATGTGGGTGGCAACCACTCGATGTGTCTCTCTCACGTCTATGTTTTTCTCTCTCTTCTCCCTCTCTCCCTCCTGCTCTAGCTGAAGATAAATGCAAAAATGTCCTCAGGTGAGGATAAAAAAAGAAAGTTATTTTATGTTAACATGTAATGGACTTATTATTAGGTTATTTTTAAATGAATTAAATATTTTTTGCCTGGACGGTGTGGCTCAGTGGACTGGGCGTTGTCCCATGGGCTGAGAGGTCCCAGTTTGATTCCCAGTCAGAATACATCACTGGGGCCCTGGCCGGTTTGGCTCAGCGGTTGGAGCCTTGGCCTGCGGTCCGGAGAGACCCCGGTTCGGTTCCCGCTAGGGGCGTGTACCTCGGTTGCAGTTTGTCCCCGGCCCTGGTTGGTCGTGCGGGTGGCAGCCACTCGATGTGTCCCTTTCACGTTGATGTTTCTCTCTCTCTCTCCCTCCCACTCTATCTGTACAAAGGGTGGAGAAGTGTCCTCGGGTGAGGAGAAAAAAAAACAAAAACAAAAAAAAGAATAGATCACTGGGTATGGACTCAATCCCCAGTAGGGAGCATGCAGAAGGCAGCCAATCAATGTATCTCTTATATAGATGTTTCTATCTCTTTCTCCCTAAAAAAATCAATAAAAAAACATTTTTAAAAAATTAAAATGAATTAAATATTTTAAAGATTGCTCAGTTTTCATTCATAATACAGTAATTATCAATGGATGTAACATACATAAGCTAAACGTTTTTTAGCTATTTTAAGAAGCTAAAAAATAAAGTAAAAGCATAGCAGGACCCTAAGATGGAAAAGTTTAATAGCCACTGAAATAGAGTAGATTCTGTCATCTTTATCTAAAAACCCTGAGTAATGGAGAAGCTACATTTTTCTTTAATTCTCTGCTGAAATTTGGGTGACTAGAAGGGAGAAGTTGGTTTAGGGAGAACACATGGTATTGCCCTCTAAAGAGAAGGAAAAAGAGGAGAGGGAGATGAAAAAGCAGCACCTGTTAGAACCAAGGCCAGGGGTTTCTAGGAGTGTCAGAAGGAGGTATCTATTTCTACAAATGAAAGAGCTTAAGGAAAACTTACAACAAAGTACCCAGAGGACACAGAACTGATAATGAATTCTTACTAATCATAAATATTTCTTAATAATCACATATACCCTCCAATTCATAGATTGTACAATTCATTTACAGCAGCCAGCCCTAGCTTAAGGAGGTCAGAGGCAGCTTTAATTCCAGTGTTTGTGCAGAGGGATGCTGACACAAAACACTATTCTTGAGCCAGGAATGGCTTGAGGAATCTTCTATGTCCAGGAATCTTAATTATATCACTCTGTTCACTCCATATTGTCTTCTTGGTCAATGTCTAAAGAGGCTGATATATGGCAAGGTCAGAACACATTTGATCATAGTATAAATATTTAACTTGACTAATAAATATCTCACAGAGTCAGTTTAGATTTAAAAAAGGTGAAGAACAGGTTTCTGGTAACAAAAATTAAGAGAGTGATAGCCTCATCAAGCCTGGGAAGTCTCCTTGGGTTTGTTTGGGGTGAGGCAGAGTCACTGGCAATCCATGTAGTCTTCTGTCTTTTGGAACTCATGTGCAAATCAAACCCACCAGACTTATGCCAGAATGGCAAGGGCTCTGCTTCATTTATCACAAAATACATAGAGCCTAGCAGAATATCTGGCACATGGCAGACTGATTAAATGAAAGAATCAACTGAATGAATGAATGAACTCATCAGGCACTCTTCATTTTACTTTCCTTCCTAACTGATCGAACAGCGGTTAACTAACAGCCAACTGCCATTCTTATCCTGCACTTATAAAAGTACTATCTTGTTCTGAAATTATCACAAAAATTACTAATGTATCATTAATAATCACTATTATAAAGTCTGTTCATTATAAACTATTCTATTTGTCCAACAATCATTTGTTATTTACTAGCAGAACATGGTTTTAGGCTTCTTCTTACTAATTCAATAGGTAATATTATATTTTGAATCATGGTAGGTTATAGCAACTGACATCAAAATAAGAAAAAATACTGGACTTAATTCAATTCCACCAAACACCTAATATGTACAAGGCTCCATGGTATGTAAGGCCAGCCTACAATTTCCCAGAAATCCCCCAAGCAATGTAAAATTAAAGTGTTTAAACTATGATTACACTAGAAAAAGCCATAAGCTGTGTGTGACATTTTCTGAAAATCTGTACATTGTTCTTTTAATCTTAACCACATTAGTTTATGTTTTCTGAGAAATTGATGCCAAGATGAGATTAAATGTAAAAGGTTTATTGGGGAGATTTTTATAATTATAAAGGCGGGGAATAAGCAGAGTCTAACACCTGTGAAGGGGAGAGGAAAAGACAGGATTGCGTAGGAAGAGTCTCAGGCAGCAGCACAGTCCTAAGAAAATCCTAGGAAGGCTAATAGAGTCCTTGAATCAACATCATCCATCAGGGGAGTGGCCATCATATTCATTCACTGTAGCCCGCCACAGTCATCCATTGGCTAGAAGCAGCATGAAGGAAGCATGCCTCAGCAGAAACACAGTAGCAGACCCAATGGGGTGGCAGCTGCGGTTCTCAGTCAACTTTACTTCCCGCAGGAGATGAGTGATGCATTTCCATTGCCACCACCTCACCTTTTGTAAGTCTTCAGGTTTTTCTGTTAATGTTTGATGGACATTAAATCATAAATGTTTTCATGCCACCTAATTTTACCTATATATTCGATGCTGTCATGAGTCATATCGCCATTAACAGATTAAGGATTTTATTACATTAATACAACACTTTGGGTGTTATATATTTTATATAAGTTTTTGAAGTATGTAAGTTGTCTTTCCTCAGTCACATATCATTCCGATTAGTGTGGAATCCAAGCAAAACTAAACAACACAAAATAATTTACCACAACATTCCTGAAATGTTAATTTAATAAAAACCTTCACTAATTAGAGCTAATTGGAGGTTGACTAAATTATAGCATAGTTTTATAGGAATGTGGTTATTACTTAGCAGCATACACAGTAACTGTAATTAGAGAACAGATGTTGACTACGAGAGAGAATGGCTAGTCCCAATGACCATACTAGTTAGTTTCTGGGGAGAATACACTTTTTAAAGTTTATTCTCTTAAGTCTCCCTACAATCTTCTCACTGCATTTGAGCTTCATATCACAAAATTATTGGCCCACTGTCTTCTAAGTCTTCTACAGGCTCTGAAAACATGTCTTCCTAATTTAAGTGTAGCCTGAGGGCTGAAGGCCAATCTCTGTGACTGAGTGAGGCCACAGGACAGCAAAGGAGGCCTTAAGGGAGGCCCAGCAGTTCTCATCCTTCCTTCACTCCAGATCTGTAAACTAGACTGACTTTTCCTGACCCAGTTAGTTATCCAAGGGCCACAGGGCTAGGATCTAGAGTCATCAGAACTGACTAGGCTGGTCCATTCTATGCTCAGCTTTTCTCATATTTGCCCTCTGTACCTGAAGTTTATGTTTCACAAATAAATGTGTATTTCAGCTCAGTTCACCTATGCAAATAATCACTAATTTTCCAACCAATGACTTTTCAATGTTATATTCACATAAAATTTCAATTCAAGTATTTCAAATTTTGGTTTCTTTAATCTTTTCCCCCCAGGAAGCCTAGAGACTTGGAGAAATACATTCGTGATTTAAGGACAGCTAACAGTACTGAGAGGTATGTGCTATGTACTGCTCCAAGTGGTTTATGGGTATTTACTCATTAAATCTTCTCAACTGCCCTGTGAGGTGGAATTAGTTTTACTCCAACTTACACATAAGGATATTGAAGCATAAAGAAGTTAAATAACTTACCCAAGGTCACATAACTAGTAAGTAGTAGAGCCAGAATTTGTACCCAAGTAATCTGGCTCCAAATTAATGACTTTCTGTTGTTACCGTGGCCTTCTCAAATATAATGCACTATTTAATTCACATTCAAAAAGCCAATATTGCCTAGCACAAGGCAATACAATCATTGAAAAAAAGTTGCTTTATTTACATTTGCATTTTATAAGCAACTGATTAATTTAAACTAAAACACGATGAAAGAAGTTTATAGTTCTAATCATCACTTACCCCAGTAAATTACATGAAAATTAATGTGCTAATGCAGAAATATTTTCCCTTTTCTAATTAATAGCAGCATATTTCCTTCTAATGTCGTCATGTATACTTTTAAATACATTAAAGAAATTAGATGATTGCCCAGCCGGTGTGGCTCAGTGGTTGAGCATCAATCCATGCACCGAGAGGTCACTGGTTCGATTCCCGGTCAGGGCACATGTAGGAGGCAGCCAGTCAATGTTCTCTCTCATCGATGTTTTTATCTCTCTCCCTTCCTCTCTCTCTAAAATCAATAGAAAAAAATTAAAAAAAAAATTAGATGATTGAAGGATTTACAGAAATAATCAGAAATAAGTTAATTCAGTTGTATGTATTCAGAAAAAGATACTGAAGTTAAAGAATATGTGGCTTAAAAATCAATACAGCGTCCTTTCCGTTCCCAATCTCCGTATCTGGTAGGTTCCGGGCCCCTGGGTCCACCTCTTTCTTTGGTAACAGGATTAACATCATCTGGAAATTCTGAAGAAAGAAGATGTGAACAAAGCAGTCAGGAGAGACAGGAGAAACACTGTGGTCAATTCTGAAGACAAGGTTGCAAGTTGCAATTAGGAGGCGATACACCACTGACTGGGCTACCATGCAGTCTGGAAATGTGAGCAGTTTTACTGTACTTACTTGCCAGTGGTTCCTTCTCCAAATGGGTATCTTCTGGTGCATCAAAACGACCTTGTGGTAACTTTGGCTTCTTGAGGGATTGTTGGACAGGTTCAGAGTTTCCTCCTTGAGAAGAACTTGTTTTCCTCAAAGAATGACACAGAAGGGGGGATCCTAGCAGAGTGGGGATAGTGGGAAAACAGGAACTGTTCATTTATTCTATTTTTAAAATTTAATAATTTTAGTCAATTTATATTTAGTTTACACATTCACATTTGTCTAAGTTCAAAAAGTACAAAAGGACATACAGTGAAAATTCTTCCTTTTGTCCGTAACTTCGTGACAGCTACTTCCTTTCCTTGGAGGCAATCACTGTCACCAGTTTGAAAAGAAAAGCTTTGAAATAAGCTAGTTAACCATTAATAAAACTATAGAAACTTATATATTAAATATTGGTTCCTGTCTGATGAATGCCAAAAATGTCAGGCATCAGATCATTAGGAATCACTAATTAGTATGAATATCTCAATGATAATATTTAATCTTTCTATCTCTAGAAGTCACAAGAGACTGTATTTAGTATTCTTATAGGTAAATCTTAATCAGGGGCCTCTATTCCTGCCTTCTAAAATTTAAAAAATGTACCAGGCAGAAGCACTTATCAATTAATTTATTAATGTTTTAATAAAGCTATGACAATGATCTATAGAATTAATATAGTTTCCTTTCATCTACATGCTCACTAATATAAAGTACATCATATGTATGGTACTAATTGCTGATAAAAATTATATGGATCAAAACATTTCTGTAAATATTAAAATAAATACACTTATCTATTAAAAATCTTTACTTATTTATTTATTTAGAGTACAGACTATTTTGTCTTTAAACTCCACTTCAATATCTAAGGCATATTTTTCTTATCTCCTCATAAGAATACTTAGTTAAACATATACTAAAAAGCTAAAGAGAAAACCCTGCAATAATATCTTATAAGGCAGCATTTAAAACATACAAGTATGAGTTTCTGATTATATTAATATATTTCATATAATAATCTCATTTTGATTGATAATGGTTGACTATTTAAAAAATATACTGAAAATGTTGGTGATTATAAATTGCACAATTGAAGGACTTTCTCAGTCCAAATAACAGAATTTTTAAATTAGTCACGTCGCCCTGGCCAGTTTGGCTCAGCGGTTAGAGCGTCGGCCTGCGGTCCGGAGAGACCCGGTTCAATTCCCGCTAAGGGCATGTGCCTCGGTTGCGGTTTGTCCCCGGCCCTAGTTGGTCGTGCGGGTGGCAGCCACTCGATGTGTCCCTTCACGTCGATGTTTCTCCCTCTCTCCCTTCCTCTCTCTCCCTCCCACTCTATCTGTACAAAAAAAATGGAAAAATATCCTCGGGTGAGGATAAAAAAAATAAAAAAATAAAAAAATAAATTAGTCACGTTATCTGAAATATAGAATTCTTTATAATTTGACCTCATATCCCAATTTAGCAAGTTTACACAGTCTCCGCAGTAGAAACTTCCTTCCATCATCTGATGTCCAAATATCTATTCATCAATAATTCTATTACCAATTAGTAAATCAAAAAAGATTGTTTGCTAAGTCATGATAGTTCAGTAGTAATAGAGATATACAGAAAAGAGAATTTTAACAATTGCATATTAAGATTCTAAATGTAGACAGGTTTTACATCTACTCTGGCTAATGAGTAGTCTCTACATTTGGTTACTAATTAAGTATATCTTTTATTGTATATTAAATAATCATTTGGAAGCCTAAAAATCAGCAAGTATTTATTATATACAAGTAGCCACCCGATACTGTGTACTCGGGCTCAACTCAATGCAATAAAATCAGCAATTCTTGTTTTAGGTTTGGTTGTTGTTGCAAATATTTAAAAAATCTAATTGAAAGCTTGAAATGATAATCAATATAAAAGTAATTTTGGTATGTTCCAAATCTGTAGAAATTCTCAAGCATTTATGCAAAATCATAAACATGGCACAGAACACATCCCTGGCTACCAATTATAATGTAGACAAAATCTGAGGCTAAAAATTTTACCTCTTAAATGATGCAAATATACTAACTGTAATAAAAGTAAGAGACATGTTAGATGCCTACTATGTGCCAGGCACTGTGCTACCAGCTGAAAGATGACACCTTATTTAAGCCTCATAATAATCTAATCAGGTATAACTGTCTATATTTTTACAGTAATTCTATACAATATAAACAAAATCATTTTTGAAAAAGTGACATTAGGTAGATGTGGTAGAGACTGCTAAATATCCCAAATAGCCATTTTTCCCTTCTTCCATTTAGTTCTAGGACTCCTACTCACCTCCCTTGCTGTTAACCTGAGCACCAGGCCACTCATTTAGAGATCACATTTCTCAGCCTCCCCTATGGGCAAGCAGCCATGTGTCCAAGTGTGACCACTGGGCTGAGACTGAAAGTGATGTATGTAAATGTTAGGTTGCCCAAATTTTGCAACAAGCTGATAGCTCTTCTGGATTTCTTTTCCCATTTCCTTGAGTTGTGATATGAGCATGGCAGTGACACAGCTTCAGCCACACCGAAAAGGCCAAAACCCAGGCCAGGGTGATATCTGAAATATTTAACAACTAATATTATAGATACACTGCTCATCAGAACATATGTCCAATCAATCAGAAGATACACAGCTCGTAAATAACTAGCAAAACTCTACTGCTACATATTGGCTGACTGTTGGTACTGCCCTACAAATGGTGGAGCAATAAGATGAAAAGAACCTGGATCCCTGAACGATCTGTCAAAGCAGTGGCCCTGCCTGTTCTCATTGGCAGGACTGTCACAGCAGCGTGGCCCTTCCCCTTAAGTAATATAATGGAGAAGTAAAAACTTGCTAACTAAGGGCACTAGAGTCACACATGGCTTCCAGTGTCAGTCACAACACTTACTAGCAATGTGAACTGAGACTTTTACTGTATTTACCACTGAGTTTGCTTTACTATTTGTAAAATGGGGATATTTCTACTTACCTTGCAGGGTAGTTCAGAGAAATGAAGTAATGTGTATGTCTGTATGTGCACACCAATATCTTTAGTGTATTAATAACTTGGGCCTAACTATGGAACACAGAAGTCAATTTGCATGAGAATTTCTGGTAAAAAACAGGAACATAAGTGTATTCTGGGGAAAGAGAGAAGATTCGCAAAGTATAAGTATGAGAAACTGGTCTGTTAGTCTGATCTTGGGCACTTCTGAAGGAACTTTATCTGTAGAAAGAAGGGCTAGAAGAAAAAGCTAAAAGAGAAGTTTTCTCATGGGACTCTGAGACCCTGGAAGCATAAACATAACTATTTTTGTAGTCAAGTAACAGTGTGACAGAAGGTGAAAGAAGAGAATTCCCTTCGTTTCTGCATAGAACCAGATCAGACAGGGCACGCTGTGCTCCTTGGCACCCGTAGGCTTATCTTTGGAAACAAGCCCATGCACAGCAGCCTGGCCAGGGTGGCAGTAGCGAGGCATGTGCAAGTAGCCTCAAGGGCAGACAAGAAGAAAGGCCAGATGACACGGATTAGCTGAGAGGTGAAGAGCCCAAGAGCCACACCTGTGATTCTGCTTGTTCACTCGTAGGTACTAAGCAACAATAACTAAATGAATAGTGGTATTATATTTCAGCCATCAGCAAACTTCTGACCACCTCAACTGCTTGAGAAATAGCTGATGGACTTAAAACCCATCTTTTGAGAAGAAAATCACCATCATAAAATCCAAGTTGTCTTCGTGAAGGGGTGGTTGGGCCTTACTCAAAGCCTATTAAAATTATTTTTAAAAGTACATTACAGGCAAGAAGATGACCTACTAATACAATAAATAAGAAAATACAATAAATAAGAAAATAATACAATAAATAAGAAAAGAGTTAATCATTCTTAAAAAACAAAAAATCGCCCTGGCTGGTTTGGTTCAGCAGTTAGAGCGTCGGCCTGTGGTCCAGAGAGACCTGGGTTCGGTTCCCGCTAAGGGCATGTACCTCAGTTGCAGTTTGTCCCCAGCCCTGGTTGGATTGTGCGGGTGGCAGCCACTCGATGTGTACCTTTCACGTTGATGTTTCTCTCTCTCTCTCTCTCTCTCTCTCTCTCTCTCTCTCTCACATCCCCCCCTCCCTCCCACTCTATCTGACCAAAAATGAAAAAATGTCCTCGGGGGAGGATAAAAAAAAAAAAAATCAACAACTTTTTAGTCCTTGCCAGGTGGCTCAGTTGGTTGGAGCGTCACCCCATACACCAAAAAGCTGCAGGTTTGATTCATGGTCAGGGCACATATCTTGGTTGTGGGTTTGATCCCCCATCGCCATGTATAAGGGAGGTAACCAATCAATACTTCTCTCTTACATCAATGTTTCTCTTTCTCCCCCCCCTCTCTAAAAAAACTAAAATAAAAATAAAAATCAATAAACATATCCTCGGGTGAGGATTAAAAGACAAAAAACCTAACAATGTTTTAGAACTTTAGAACTTCTGTTTCTGGAAATTTGATGAATTAAGACACTGAAACTGTACAGCTATAAAACAACTAAAAAAGTCAAATAATATACAAAACATTTCTAAATCAGAGGAAGAACCTTTAAGAAAGCAAATAATAATAAAAGTAAAAAGCAGTCCAGTGAGGTAAACACACACTTAAACTGTCACATACTTTATGTCTTATCTAGAGCTTGGGGTATCGCACTTTCAGGACGGCAGGGAGAGGGCTCTTGAACCTGAGCAAAACAAGAGGCCTGTTAGTGGCCAGGACTCGGGGAGGCTCATGCTCTAGAAAAGAAAATGAGCCAGAAGATTTAAAAGTGTGCAAATAAACACCCTGGGGGATCTGGTTAAAATGCAGATTCTGAGTAGGTCTGGGTGGAACCTAAGAGTCTGCATTTTAACACACTCCCAGGTGATGTTCATGCTGCTGGTCCAAAGAGTGAGGGACTAGAAGAAAACTCCCACCGACAAAGAGAACAGTTAAGGAAGGAAAGACGTCCATCTCAATGTGGGTATGAGTGGAGTTGTAGAAAAAGAAGCCCTGCTTGATATTTTGAAGCCACTGGCTGACCACACCTGTGTTTATTTCATATTGCGCATTATTTGCATGGTTCAAAACCCCCCAAGAGGAGCACCT